AACTGAGGGTGGCAACTGGTTCCAGAGTGACGGTGCTAGGACTGAGAAAGCCCGGTCCCCGCGAGTACGACACCTAGAACGAGGGACAGCGAGCAGGCCTTGGTCAGAGGAGCGCAGAGCGCGTGATGGGGAATGTCTGTTCAGGAGCGTGGCTAGATAGGGGGGAGCACCACCCTGGAAGAAATTGTAAACAAAGATGACGAGTTTAAAGTGTGAACGATAACAGACCTGAAGCCAGTGCAGGGAGGCCAGAACCGGACTGATGTGGTCCCGTTTCCTGGTCCCAGTCAGAGCCACTGGATGAGCTGTTGGCTCATCGAAATGAACCAAATTGACCAAATCATCTACTTTTCATAGCAGTTTATGCGAGTCTATTTTTCATAAACCTGGAAACATCCATATTTTCACATTTCTCATTTATGTCAGTGGAAATATAGAACATAGTTCTACAGGAATGGACGGTAGAAAGTGTAACACTAGTAAAAAAATAAAAAAGACACAAAACTGTGTGATGCCAAATTGATGTAAAGATGTATTAAATCACATTGCACCATTTGCTGTTAAGTCTTTGAACTTGAGGCATGGCAGCAGCCACATTCTTTAGATCTTGTGTCAGACTAGCTGTTAGCTCATCAATCCTGCATAATAAACTTTATTTTACAGATGAGGTGACGGGTAACTTTTAAACAGATGCACATTCACAAATGCTCAGACTGTCTCTTTATGAGCAGTTGTAAAGAAAAAAACCTCCACCCTCCACTTAACTCTCGTCTTTAGCCTGCAGAGACGTTTACGACCAGAGCTGTTCATGCCTACTATTGGCTTAGAATGGGTGGTGAATTTCTCAAAGGGAAGGCAGAAAAAAAATATTGCAACACAAAAACCTGAAGGTCTTTGGGATATTTTGAAACTTCACCTCACTGGATTTAGTCCTTTTTTATTTATTTATTTAATTATTTTTGCATTTCAACAAAAAAATGAGGCAATTAACTGACCTCCCTTTGGGGGTTCCATTAAATGTCTTCAAACAATAAGGTTGTGAACTGTGATGCATTTAAGTGCAATTGTGAGGGGAAAAACAAGAGAAAGTAGATAAATAATGTTTTATTTTTTTTAAATCAAGCCCTCCAACTGTGGACAATGAAAGATAAAAGCCACAGCGTTGCTTGTATGAGTAATAATCAGCGTTCAGACTCCACAGTCGAGCCTCAGAGGACCCGCCTCACCTTTTATCTTAAACACAACTCCATGCTGAGCTCGTTCTTTGTCTTTCCTCGGGGCAAAACAGTTGTGTCCTCGCTATGAAATGGTATCATCAGGTAACAGCATCCTTCCTACTTCTATTTTCACCGCCGCTTCAGATAACACGCGTATACCACAGGGAAAGTCATCTCCGTTTGTCTTCCAAAAAAGCCTCGGAATCAGAGGGCTGAACAAAGTGCGAGCTTTTACCTCTGCAGGGTTTTTTTTCACCACAGAGGATGAAGCTGTGTCTGAAAACTGCCAAAAAAAGGAAACTGACAGATGAACAGAGACAAATCTATATAAATAACTGCCAAGCTGAGTGGAGAGGAGTTGCCCATCATTCAGACAAGAAGCATGTGCAATATGTGCAGGAGATTGAGAGTCATCCATCACTGCAAGACTTTAATTTGAGATGTTTAGGACTGTTGCTGATGATTGTCTTGAGAGCCAGGGAGAGTCTGGTCTTAGGGGTCTACAGGGGTCTTGGCTGAGTGTGGCTCACGATGGGAGACGCTGCAGCCTGACAAAAAGAGCGCTCACACAATAGTTTAATCTGAGTCTGGCTGCAAGAGCGCAGACAGAACAAGCAAATCACTGTCTGATTAGCATTCAGATGCTTGAAAGTGTGGAAGCAAGTTTCTGACAGCTTATTACATCTTACGGCGCTACAGTAATGCACTCAGACAGATGCGCTTTAGTGCTCTCACACACACACACACACACATTCGGACACACCTCATTTAGAGCGGAATGATGTCAAAATGAGTCCACTGAGTGGGGGGCGGAGATTGAAGAGCCCAAGGTAAAGAGAGTCTAGAGACTCCAAATAATCTCAAGTATTGATTCCATCTGAGCCCCGAGGCTCCTGATGGACACACACTTATAAATGCGCTGATGGGTGGCATATCCGTATGACTGATCACCGTGGTTCTGCCCACGGTAAAGGCTGCAGACTATCTATAAATATCAGCCCTCTCTAATCAAATGCTACAGCAGATCCGAAGACACGATGACAGCTCGGCAGACGTACGCTGTAATTTACCACAGAGCACTTAGTCTCGCCATTACATTTACATGGACGCGGTGCAGAGAGAGGAACAAGGCGCTGACTGACTTCTCTGTCGCATGTGGCTCATGTACACCGGTCAAGCAACAATGGCGTGCAATAACTACCTTTCTCAGTGGCCTAGTGGTAGAGTGTCCGCCCTGAGTCTGGGAGATCAGGGGTTCGATTCCTGGTCGGGTCATACCAAAGACTTTGAAAAAATGGGACCCAATGCCTCCCTGCTTGACACTCAGCATTAAGGGGTTGGATTGGGGGGTTAAACCACCAAATGGTTCCCGAGCACGGCTGTGTCTGCAGCTCACCGCTCCCCCAGGGGATGGGTCAAATGTGGAGAACAAATTTTGCACACACACCTGTGTGTGTGACAACTAATGGGACTTTAACTTTAAATGGTTTTTTTTTCAGCACACATACAATAAATACGCTGTAAAGTAAATAACAATTGACTAAAGATCAGTAAAGGACGGATCAGCCTTAAAACCAGGATCCCACTGGGCCGAGACTGTTGGTGACTGCTTAGAGATGCACAACTGTGACAAAATAAACAGATTTGGTGGTGGAGTCAGGCTGCATGCTTACGTAGATTATGACGTATTTGTGACATAATTTCAACATTCTTGCAGGATTCATGTTGTAGTTTAATCACAACGTGCCTGAATTATGTCTTGATGCATTTGCAGTTTAGGTCGCCATCAGTCTGTTTGCACAAAATAAAGCCACTGCTTCACTACTCTGCAACTGTTGGTGGAAGTTTGCTGTTAAAGCAAGAGTTTAGACACTTTCCTTGAAATTATTTTAAGTGTTCTCTGTTTCCTCGTCTAATCAAGGGCGCTAACCCTAACCCTGAATTACCAAATGAAGGGCAAATATAGATATACAGTAACTGACACTTTGAGTAAAATATGAAATTGCATGAATGTGATGCAGCGTGGGCATACGCAAGTGTCTCAAATACCTCTTTTGTGAAACTGTTTGTCCAATTTTTTGTCTCAAACCTTTCACCAAAGTTGCAGCCAGGTGAGGGACCGGCCTTCACTGAAAAAGGGTTTATCTAACTTTTCAAACTTATGAAAATTCTCACAAACAAAGAAATGAAGAACCTGCTAAAATGCTTCAAGACATTTTGGAAACATTCTCATTATCACCTTTTGGATCTCGTCACGACAGTCGCACCTTGGTGAGATACTGGTGTGACGTGCTGTGGTTCAACAGCAAAGTACTTAGAATAAATAAGACACATAAATAATGGCTGTAGATGCACCTGTCTTTTGGGTTTTCGGTGAAAAACGAGAAGGATTTGATTCAATCTGCCTGAATAAGTGGCATTGTGGTTACGAGCATAACAAGATAATCTGCTGTAATGCTGTTCAGTGCTATCCATTGTGATGGGATGCTGCGTCCTGTTTTTTCAACAGACTGTCATCTATCAAGGGCGGCGTGGAACATGTGCAACAAGAAAAGACGAAAGCCAGAAGCAGAAACGACATCCTTGAGATGGGAAAACTGGAAGTTATCTCAACTAAACCTTTTCTTCCGCCTAGTTCCTAAAACACGAGAAGTGTTTATTAATGCCTTTGCCTCTCAACAAGTTAATAGTCTTCATTTATCTCCTCTAATGCTGTTCTAATACCTGAGTGGTCTGCAGATGCATGCCTTGAATGCTCATTTTCTGCACAGTAGCCTCTGTGTACTCCAAGGGTCCGGCCTCTCCCCAGGAGCGGACTCCTCGGAGTATAATTTGATTTTTCCAAAGCAGGTGTTTTCAGCTGAATGTTGATAAGAGGACTCGGCGCCTCTGACACCCAAGTGAGTTACGTTAGATCTGCCTAAGGAAGCGGACGGCGAAGGGCTTATTTATTTTATCCAATCAGCAAGCGAGGAAGTCCGATTAGCTGTTCTATAATTCATGTGGCATTTCTATAGAGAGGGAATATCTTGAGTGATATTTATTATCCCTGATGTGACATTGATCACGGACACAGATGAAAATGTTGGGAAAGTTAATCCCAGTCCACGCTGATTTGAAGCATCTTTGCTTGTATATTTTCTGCCTTGCTCTTCCGCATCAGCTGGAACAGGATGAGGGTTACATCTGTGATTTTCAGTCAAACCTCCTGCAGATTGTTCTCTAATCTCCCACCGCAACCCGAGAGCGGTCTCTCGCAACGTGTTACACAGTGTGCAAACAAAAGGAGTCACTTAAAGCCTGTGATTGAGCCAAAAGACCTCGTGCGTTCTCACTCTTGGCAGTTTAATTGCGACTCTGTGTGGTGTGAAGACAAGAAACATCTGCTACGTTTGGGACACGATGCGTGGACTTTTCATCCGCGGGAAACGACAAGCGCACGCCGTATACACAGATCACACACTGACCTGCCAAAACCTTTTGACAGAGCACGGTGAGACGATCAGAGTTGAACGACATCCTTTTCTATGCAGATGAGCTAAAAGGGGACGGCTCTGCAGATGCTTTCAGCACACGTGTCCAACGGATGCTGGAAAAGTGCTCAACTTCAACTGCATCACAGCACCTTCAAGGACGCAGCCCGTTCACGTTGTAGGAAACTTACGTTGAAATGAATTTAGTCAAGAAATGCACCTTTTTGATCCAAGGAACTCTGTCAACAAGCTGTAAAAGAAACTACCCAAACCACGTGATTAGTCTGATGAAATGAGAATTTGAACCTACCCGCTGTGGAAACTTTAGAGCAGAGACGCAGCCAGTTTAATCCAAATCAAACTGTCTTCCCACCTTTCAGCAGGAGCAGGCTCTTTTCCTTCACTTCTTTCAATCCCTTCGATCACCCTGCTTCTCTCTTTGGAGCCCTCCAGTCATTATCCCGCTCTGTGCGTGCACTTTGAGCGCGAGCTGGACCATGACAGATGCTCGTGAGCCAAACGCACGGCGCAGGAGAGCAGGACGAGCCGGAGGATGCACGGGAGCTAAAGTGGAGACTGTCCGTGTGGCTGCAGAGCGACGACTGAGAGGGAAGCGAGCGATGGAGTGAGAGCCGTGAAGAGTGTGTGTGTGCAGGAGTGAGGGAGCAAGAGGAAGTGTGTGTGTGTGTGGAGCAGACAGAGTGAAGGAGAGAAAATGTGAGAGGGTCTGCCAGCTCAGTGGTGAGTGTCAGTCGTGATTGCATTGGTGTAAGGCAGGAGAGCAACACCCCCACCCACAAGCCCCCACCCCCACCCCCCAACTCCCTCATCAGATCCTCCTGAGCACTGAGGATCTTCATCATCAAGCAGATTAGAGCCAACTAACACTCCACCCCCATACCCCTGAAAACACACACACACACACACACACACACACACACACACTGAGCCAGGACTGTGCGCAGTGGCCACAGGGGACATTCTAATTGGAAAGACGGTTGGAAATGCTTCTTTTGTCCTGAGCTTGTGTGGTTGCCAACCCTTAAAAGACAAACTTAAGGCCATTTCATTGACTTTTAGGGTCCAAATGTAATAACGATCACCCCAAAAGAATCTTGGAAAAGATCCCAACGTGGAGCAAGGCATCAAGGATCCACATCTGCAAGGCACCTGCAGTGTAATCCGCATCAGTCAGTAGAAGTGCTGAGCTTTGTCACCAGCAGGCTCACGCTGATATGTCACCAGGAATAAGCTGCACAAACATGCTGCCAACAGAGTCAGGGTTCTCCATCCAAGATTCACACTGGCTGATCTGATCTGAGATGCCTCCACATCAGGGAGGTGGAGGCAATAATAAAGTATTTCTTTAGAGTGCATGATAAGAGTCTTTATTAGGGATGGGTACCTTTGACATTTGAATCGATTCGGTACTAATTCCCAGTACCTACGAATCGATACCGGTACTTAACGGTACCAATTTCCGATACTTTTGAGTGTTTATTATTTTAATTCTCTTTTATAATTAAATATATATTTTTCTCAATATATAACAATGTTTGATAAATATCACGATAAATAACATACAACTGTTTGTATTTTAACATCGTCCTTGTAGTTTTATAAGCTGATAATTAAACTGAAGCAAACATCTTTACTGTGAACTAAATTTACTGTGTATCTTCATTCCTTTTGCCGTCCTTTTTCATTTGATTTTTCCTACTGGGAAGATAGAATTTCCGAGGAGAAAGCGAACGCACCATTAGCTGATAACAATGGTGGCAATGGAAGCTAATTTATCAAGCTAACGTTATCTTAAACAGTTTATTTAGCTGCTGGAGCAGATTTAAACGATGATGCCTCACACTTAGATCGTTGTCGCTGGTTTCATCTTCACCCAATCACCCGTCGCATTTAGTAAAGTGAAGCCAAACTTTAGAGCGCGTCTAGTCGGGAATTCGGAGTTCCGAGGAGAAAGCGAACGCACCATTAGTGAAACGGAAGCTAACATATCAAGCTAACGTTATCGTAAACATTATATTTACCTACCGGAGCAGATTAAGATGAGGATGTCTCACTTAGATCGTTGTCGCTGGTTTCATCATGACCCAGTTACCCATCACATTTAGTGAAGTGGACCCAAGCTTTAGCGTGCGTTCTTTCTACCATGCTGCTCTGTTTACACCTGGCTCGCAGCGAGCAACGACATAACGCTCTTGCGCATGGGGAGTTATCTAGGCAAGTTCTCGTTATGAAGGACGGGCACCGAAACGAGGCACCGTTTGAAATGACGTGAATCGGTGCTCGGTCGGTACTATGGAATTCGGTCGGTACCTTAAAAAATACCGAATTCGGGACTCTTTATGCACGTCAATTTCAGGATGAGGATGCATGGGTTCGGAAACCCTAATGCAACAAACGACCAGATTAAAAAACAAAGATTTACAAGACTTCATTGATTTAAAAAAAGCCTTTTAGAGTGAAAGCTTCTCTGGAAAAAAAAAATGTTTTGTTTCTTAGATTTGAGATTTAAGGTGCGTTCAATAATAAAATATTTAGAAGAAAACTGAAATGTTGAAAAGTAAATAAATCATCAAGAATGAGCATAAATACATGATAGTTTGTTGGTGTCCACGGCGACCCTAGTCATGTTAATGAAGTGGTAGCCAACGGCGGCGAAGCCAAGAGCCAATAAAAGGACGGCTCACTCTGCCTCCCGGTGGTTCAGCGGTCAGGATCTCAGAAGTTTGTGCTCGGTCATTAAGAAAGAAGTGCTGAAGTCGTCAAAATGAAGGAACACGGTTAAAAAGGGCAAGAGTGAAGTTGGGGGAAGGTGGATTTTAGACTAAAACCAAATACTTTTGTAGAAATTGTTGAAGTGTAATTAGAAATATATTAAAAAATTCAAATATTGAGAATAGTTGGTGTCAGGAATTGTTTAAATGAGTAAAAACGTACGTTAGAATATCACGAAAATGTAAAAAAATAAGTCTGAAGGTCAGCCTCTGTTACTATGGTGATCAAGGATGACCCCGAAGTGTCCCTTCAAAATTCACAAAAGGAACTCTCACATCACAAGACCCTAGCATTTACAGGACCCGTTGCCCTGCTGGACTCAGCCTCCGTTGCTCATCTCTAACACATCTTTATCGTTGGCAGCAGAGACTCTTCCTCAGGAGGAGTTCTGATGCGTGTGGTCCTCATGGACTGCCCTGCTGTCTCTCTGCCACGGCCTTTATTCTGCCTCTTTTGCTTCATCTGATGCAGCTCATCCTCAGCGCGCTCTGATGTGAATGCATATGGCTGAACATCAAGCTGAAACAGCACACATGCTGCTCCATGGGGTCTTCTCGTGTGTTATTGCTTATGAGAAGTCAGCATCAGCCTGTAAACAAGCCAGTGTGAGTAAACGAGAGAGCTGGTGTGTAAATCAGCGACTGGACAGCGGAATAGTCCTGATTTAGAAAATGCATTTTACAAACGTGGACGTGCCAGAAACCTCTTCGGTCGCTCAACGATCTGCCTCTTCCGGCAGAATCTGCCTTTAGGACCAACCTGTCCTAAAAAAACGTCTCCGCCATAATTTGTTTGTACACGTTTCTCCGGGGAATACAGCTCTTGGTGATGTACTGTGTCCGGTAACGATCTGCTGAGGCTCGTGGCTGCTGGGTGTCTGAGTGAAGGCTGTGCTGTTGGAAGGCTCCATTATTCGTGATGGACTGAAGGCTGAACCAGCATGATAAACGGGATGAGAGGTCAGGGTCCAGAGTTCCGTTTTCAGCATTGTGGGGGTTCCCCCTCACACCGGCTTCACATAAATGAGATTTATGCACAGGTGGTGGGAGATGACTTATCTCAGATTGCATTGCGTAGCTTTTCGACGCCAGGGCTCCTCTGACGTTGCATGAAGGGGTGTAATTTGTTGTTTCTATGCTTTGTGTGGCTGATGTGTCTCACCACAGATTAATTGCCAGTGATCCGGTCCTGTCCCTGCCATGAATGGAAGTGTCCTTGGGTAAAACGGGCGCTATATAAGGTTGGGCCATTTATATTAGAGACCATTTATATGAGATCACCAGCAATATAGCGATATGAACCCTATTAAGATCGAAGCTCATCTTCCTTTAAACAGCATTTCTTTATAACCTTACACAAATAAGGTCATAATTGAAGTGGGCATTAACTAAATGAAATTGTGGAATATAGACACATAAAATGTAACTAGAATTTTTTTAATGTCCTGCCAGACATTTCATGACATCTTAGGGTCCGTGCAGAACAGCGAGGCTGTTGGTGAGGATAAAAAGCTTTTGGGTCAAGTGAGAAACCAAAGGAAGGCCTAGCATGCACATCACCCACCATATTTGATGTTAAAATTTTAAAATAAAGGCATTGTCACACCTGTAGTCCCTTTGAATCTGACTGTCACGATCCACCCCTGCCTTCCTGACTGTGTCTCTCTCCTGCCCTGATTAGTCCTTATTGTTCTCACCTGCCTCTCGTTAACCTGCCCATGTGTTCCTAATTTTCCCCGTGTATTTATACCTCCCGTCTTGTACCAGTCGCCGTCGGATCATTGTATGTGCATGTGCTTGTTTTGTCCTGTCGCTCCCGTTCCACCCATTAAAAGCATTTTTATTTTTCATCCGTGCCTGCTCTCCTGCCTCCTGAACTCTCCACCACACATGGTCCATCATCTCCACACCCGCAACATGACACTGACTTTGGACCATTTTCACTTTCTGTGTGGCTGGTTTACATAAATATGAACACAGTAATCTCAAATGGGTGCATAACAAGTGTGGAACATAGCCAAGCACGCAGTCTTAGGGCACTTTTTTTTCATCTTGATCTGACCAATCAGCAGCTTAAATGTTCACACACTTCTCTGCGGTGCTGCAAAGAAGACTGTTGAGAAAGGGTGGAAATATACTCATTTGGTAAAACCTCAAAATGAACATGTTGCTCTCTGTCACAGATTATTACATAATCTCATACCATCTGTTGGCACTTAGTGTTTGTCTCGGGAATTACTTTTAGCTACTTTGACATCAATTTTTACCTCCATCTATAAAACTGAGTTTCTGCTGTTTGTAGAAGTTTAAGCAAGACTTTGTTAAACTTTCAATGCAATCTCTGCAATAATGAGATATTGAGATAAGAGACACTTTGATCTACCGTTACCTTTTGGCAGCAAATGAGAACGAGTTTGAATTTGTACTGAACAAGAATGCAATATAGAATCAGATTTAGGTCATTATTCTGTGTACTCTCTGCAGCATGTAAACATGGTGTTTCTGCATCGACTCGTGTAAACATCATGATTGGAACCTTCTCGTATCTGAACAGGATCAATAGTTGGATTATTATTGCTTTGCATGTGCACATAGTCACTCTGTTGGCCTCTTTTCCCTCCACTTGCTTCCTGTTCTGTCATTTCCACGCCATAATGCCCTTAAAGATTTTTTGACACACATCAGTAGTGTGCTTTGAAATAATTTATTCATGATTTCCTGCGCTACTCCCACTTCTCTTATTTCTTTAAATGTATGCCGTCATTTTAACTGTTGCATGAATGACTTTTTGTTTTTGTAAGCTAAAAGATCAACTAGCACGCACAATCATTCATCATTTTTCAATGAGGGAATTGGTTAGGGATTAGTTAGCCTTGGGAATTTCTTTTATTTTACTCTTTAAAATAACTTAGTTAAAAAAAACATTCATGACTTGCTAAGAAAGCTCCCTCATTCATCAGC